AAGCATCGATCAGACTGTCAAACCTCAGAGGGAAGGTAGGGGAGGTGGGGGTAGGGGGAAGAGATCAACCAAAGGTCTGTATGCATGCATATAAGCCTAACCAATGGAACCAGACCAGCAGGGAGGTGAAGGGCGTGAGGGGGGGTGGGGGGGGGGAGTTGGGGATGGTAATGGGGGGATGAGGACAAATATGTAATACCTTAATCAATAAAGAAATTAAAATGTAAATAAATAAATTAGAGCCCCAGCACCTCGCCGGGGTGAGTTGGAGGGTTCCATGCCTGCACCTCTTCATTGTATCACCTCCCCCCCCTCCCCCCCCGCACCACCACCCGCGACGATGCTGACCCAGGTGCTTTACTCAATAGCAGCTTCACCAAACTCAGCCCTCAATGTCCCTTTGGCGAGGCAGGTGCCACCAGGAGATGGAGTTTTGCTAGTTAAATGTAGACACAGTCATCTGCTTTCACCTTGACGCTGTGGGGTGGCTGGTCAGGGTCTGATTTTTCTTAAAATCATAATCTTCTGGCTAAAGAGCCTGCTGACTGGGCAGCGACACCTCCTTGCCCCCTGATATGAAAAGAGCTGGTTACCTCCTTGCCCAGGTAATCCTTAAGAGATCACTTTGACACCCTGAGCCTCAGTTCCCGCCATTTATACAACAGGATTCCTGAGCCCACATCACTAGAAACATAAATGATGGAATGAAGGAGTGCTTCGAGAATAGCTGAAGGTTCTGTCCAAGGTGCAGAAAGACGTTTGGCTTTCTAATGAAGAGGTATTGTCATTAAATGATTCTTTCTTGCCAGAATTCATAGAAAACAAACTTTTCCTAAGGAAACAACTTTGGATGATATTAATTTGGCCTCGATCTTAACCTCACCAAGGGCTTCTTTGACATTCATTTCTGTAGGGCTTTACTATTCCAGCCTAAGCTATGCAAGTGTAAATGCCATGAGTGATACTGCTTTGAAGAAATGTAATACAATAAAACGAAATAATAAAAAAGTTGAAAATATCCTTTCAAGTGTCATTTTGTTCACAACATATTTCTCAGCTGGAGGAATGTACTGTTGAATTGGAAAACAGGAGTCTTGCCCTAATTGACCTTGAAGTTAGAAGCAATTTAATTCAGGGTGTATTTGCATATTTCTGTAAAGAAAAAAAACTATTAGACTACTTTTAATTGTAGTCTACTACAATTAGACTACTTTTATATTGTCTTCTCCAGATATTGTTTCCCAATAAACCATCAACATGTCCTTAGACTGTAGCCCAGAGAGTTAAATGGTCTTTCATCCTGTCATCACTAATTTTTCAACGTCTTCTTAAAATATTTTGTTACTATACTTTTGAAAGATCCTTTAAATGCTAACAGTGTCAAATTAAACGATGGATTATCTGTTTAAATATTTATAAGCCTGAGCAGGATGTATTGTATGATTATTGTCACATAAATTGCTAGGTTGTGAGAGAATGACTGCATGCCATCAAACACTGAAACCACCTTTTTTTTTTCATTATCATGATTTCCATTTAGTCTAAGTATATTTCTAAGTGTGTGCAGTGTGTTTTAACAAAAGCAGTTTTCTGGGACAACTTGAAGAGTTTCTAGTAATGAATACAAGTCCAGACTTGCTAATTGACTTTTTATTTTTTTCCAACAAACTTTGACTGAATGTGCCAGGAGCAGTGGATTCAAGGTTCCCCCATCCCCATGCCATCCCTCACGCAGCTTAATTTCTGCAAGAAAGACAGACTGGCATATCAAATAATCACAATTTAAAAAGCAGTTTACAAGTAGGAATGGTTATGGACTGCATGTTTGTGTGTCCGCCCCCCCCCCCTAATTCTTATGTTGAAATCATAACCTCCGATGGCATGGTATCAGGAGGAAAAGCCTTTAGTAGGAAATTAGGTTTAGATGAGGTTATGAGGGTAGAGTCCATGATGGGATTACTGTCCTTGTAAAAAGAGAAAGACACTAGAGCTCGAGCTATCTCTCTACCGTGTAAGGACACTGCAAGAAGGTGGTCATCAGCAAACCAAGAAGAGGGCCCTCACTAGAACCTAACCATGCCAGCACCTGATCTCTGACTTCCCAGCCTCAAAGCTGTGAGAAATAAATTTCTGTTGTTTAATCTACTCAGTTTATGGTATTTTTTGTTATAGCAGCCACAGCTGAGACAACAATGAACTGTTCCCCCAAAGTGTGTGGGTGTAGGTCTACTGCTCTAGAGTCAGTATCACCCAACACAGAAGATTCAAGACAAAGTGCTCTGTCAGAATCTTCCAGCAACTCTCCTACAGGAACCAGGTGCTGTCTGCTCTTAAATTCCTCTCTCTCTTCTCTCTCTCTCTCTCTCTCTCTCTCTCTCTCTCTCTCTCTCAGTGGTAACCCATCTCTAATGCTGATTAAATGGAAAAAATCCTGCTTAACCATCGGAGACTCTGGGTGAGAGGTGCTACTGAAATAATCACAGATATATGTACAGGTGGAACTTCTACTACAAGGTCTAAGACTTAAATTTGAAGCCAACACACCCACAGGGAGGGTAAAAAACATGACCTCATGACATTAGCAAACATTTAGCACATTCAGGCACACATCTGGCAGCTGTTTATGCTTTGGCTAGCATCTCCCCATTTCCTACAGCCTTCAGCCCCTGCAACCACCATTCCACTCTGCTGCTATGAGTTAGACCTTTAAAAAGTATTTGTTTTTCTTTGCCTGGCTTATTTCATTTAGCATAATGTCCTCCAGGCTCATCCATGTTGTGGCAAATGGGAGGATTTCCTTCTCCTTATGGCCGAAAAATATTTCATTGTGTGTATATATCACAACTTCTTTATACATTCATCTGCCGATGAACACAGGTTATTTCTACATGTTGGATAATCTGAATGATGCTGCAGTAACATGGAAGTGCAGATACCTTTTCAAGATCCCAATTTAGCCATGGCCAGTTTGGCTCAGTGGATAGAGCGTCGACTTGCGGACTGAAAGGTCCCAGGTTTGATCCGTCAGGCATGTACCTTGTTATGGGCACATCCCCAGTAGGGAGTGTGCAGGAGGCAGCTGATCGATGTTTCTCTCTCATCGATGTTTCTAACTCTCTATCCCTCTCCCTTCCTCTCTGTAAAAAAATCAATAAAATATATTTTTTTAAAAGAAATCCCAATTTAATCTACGTTGGTTATATACCCAGGGATTGCTGAATCATAAGGTAGTTCTATTTTTAATTTTTTGAAAAACTTCTATACTATTTTTCATAAAAATAGTATATAGTAGTGATATCTAA